TTAAGTTATTGAACTTTTAACAAACGCCTTCCTTTTTTTATATTTGCAAATGCAACACACTAAAAATATGTTACAACCTTATTGCTTGTACCTTCTTCTTTGCGGTAGTAAAAAAAATATTTATATTAATTTTTGTGTAATAAATTTTAGCTTAAAAACATTGTCAAAAAAATCTACATCCAAAAACTCTAAGTAGCATATAGTGTTTCATTTAAAAAAAAACACAAGTTTGTATTGTAACTTATTTTTGAGACACGCTGTATAGTTGAAAATAATTTTAGGCGATGGACTAGATTAGTATCTATCAATGTTCTATATATTTTTTTTCAATTTTACCATTTAAAGGTCAACTCGCTGGAACACCCTGTATATTTTACAATCTTTTTTTAGCACGCTGTATCCCCGGTATGGATTTTGAGCCTCCATTGCCTTGGAAACGACCCATTAGATCAACAAATCGCTCGTTTCCGAGGTAACGGACCCTCAAAACCCCAGAAACTGCTCGTTTCCAAGGTAACAGGACTCAAAATCCCTACTTTTTGGTTCCAGTGAACGGCGCTGTGGACGTGTACATCAACCTGCATGGGTCGTCTACCACCAGCCGTTGGAGCAAACGCCACAACCCCAATTGGCGGCAACTGCGCCACAATTGGTCGCAAGAGTCCTCAAGTCCGGGTACCGGATCGCAGAAATACACTCCGGGTCTCCGGCGTACCAACGCCGAACGCAGTCTTCTTAATAAGAAGCGCGTCATAAAAATGCTTTTCGCCGTAGTTTTGGAGTTTTTCATTTGTTGGACTCCACTCTATGTTATTAACACAATCGTCTTGTTTGATTCTTCCGTTATTTATAACAATCTAGGATATAAAGCTATCACTTTCTTTCAGTTGCTGGCGTATTGTTCGAGTTGCTGCAATCCGATAACTTATTGTTTCATGAATTGTGGATTTAGAAAGTCGTTTTTAAATCTTTTCAAGTGTTTGAAAAAGTCGAGGAACTTCGGAGTGAATAACAGCGAGATTAATATGGAGACGAAGTGGACGAATCGGTGCTCGGAAAACACGGATTTTTGTAGATAAACTGTGTAATTACTTTTGGGCAAATAAACGGTGATTAAATATATCTGCTTTTTTTAAGTATTACAACAAAATATCGGTTATTAGCGCTTCGAATTCCTAGTAAAAAATGCAAACAAAAAGCTTCTTGTAAGTCTTAAAGAAAAAACGGTATTTATTACGTGCAAAAAACAAAACCTTGAGACTGTTTTAAAATATGAAAGGTCGACTTGCAAATATTTATTTTGTCAAAAAAATTTACCGACAAATCACTGACTCACCCATGTATAATCCTAATTATAAAATAAATGAAGTCATTATAAAACTCATTTTTGTATAATTTATTTACATAAAATTACATTGTATTAGGTATGTTGTTTGTTTACAAAAAGTACAGAAAATAAATTAATTTCTTTGGTAATGTTATTTAAAAAAAATAATACTGTGTTTAACGAAACAACACCAAGTATTACAATTTTCTCACATTTAATCTATATCACTAAGTCACATTTATTTACATATCTAGTGCCTCACGTAGTACTTGAACAAAACTTTGGGAAAAATTGACAGCCACACATCAATTTTTTCGAGTCTTTTTCGATAAAACAATTCTAAAAATATGCTCCTCTTAAAAAATGATATTTCGTTAACTGATTTCCGGGAACGCAGCATCCATCAAAACCTCAAAAATCTCCTACAAACCAACATTTACACTCCCCTCAACCCTCCAGAAACTTACATAAAGCAACTGCTTGTTCATATTCTTCTCCTGGAACGCATCAAACACCTTCCTCGCCCCACTTTTCGCAGCATTCGCCCCAACCAAAGTCGTCAGCAATTCCGGAACGTTACTTACAAACAAAACTTGTGCTTCACGCGCCGTCCTTATTTTTTCATTGGCAGTTCGCATTGGCCCCGCACTCGCCAAACTGCCCCCAGGCCAGAAATTCTTCAAAATCAGAGTCACGTAATAGTGGAGCATTTGCTCGGAAAACCACCACGAGATGGTCTCGTAAATCTGACGATTGATATTACGCCCATATGTCACTTGGACAAACCCAATCAACGTCTTGCGGAGATACTTGAACACCCCTCGCATGTCAAAAAGCTCCCCCAAGAGGGCGTACAAAGGCTCAGCGATGGTGTCTTTCGAATCGTCGTAGAATCGGCCGTTTATTTTGACGAAATCGACGGTATCGCCGGATTCGGGGGCCAAACATTGCGAAATGTCTTCTTCTTCGCTTTCTTTGAGGACCAAAGAACCGTCCTTACTTTGCTCACTTCCGCTGGAAAATTTCAGTTTTTTTCAGGATTTCCCCGGGGGCAATTATGGTGTACGATTAGGGAATTATTTGGAATTACTTAGGATTCCTGGGAAGTACTCATGTGAATGCGCTTGCGTTTACTAGATTAACGCATGCGCATTATACCTTATTATTTTGATATACCTAATATTATTTACTCATTAAAAAAAAGATTAAATAAAATAGCAAAACCTACAAAACGAAACTTGAGCAATTTTGAAATATTATCATAATATGGAATATAAATAAAAAACTTATGTAAATATTAAAAAATAATAGCAGGAAATTATTCGATCAAGTTTATTTTTATTTAAATTTGGAATTAAACATATGTTTGTGGAATTATTTAGAAGTAATTAAAAAATAATTACATTATTAGCTTTCTCATAGTTGAGATTCAAAATTTTGTAAATATTTTACAGCTTCATAAATTGCAAGAAAAAAAAAATACTATTTATTACCGCGTTTCTTCATGGACTTCAAGAGTGTTACACATTTAAGAATGTTTAGTAACTAAAAATTCGCTTATTTTTATTTCTTTTTGGTGTTATTTTTTTTCTCGTAATTTTTATACCTGTAAGCTTGTCTGACTTTTTTGACACCCGAAATAATTAACAGTTCCATTTTGTTCTGTTCAAAAGACCTTTTTAAATTAATCATGATCAAATTAAAATAATAATAGTTAATAGTAGACTCGGATTAAAAACTGATTTTGTAATAGGTATTTGTTCTTAATATTTTTTCTACAGCGTGTCTTAAAATGATTTTTATTTTTTTGTGCCGCTCCACTCTTTTTGAATCAGATACTTCTGTCAACAGTGACTGACAATTGAAATAAATCTACATTGAGGTGAATTAGATTCAATAGTTTTTAAAGCGGCAAAACATAAGTTTTGCATAGAAATTCCATAAGCGATTCGATGAAAATCATTTTAAAACATATTGTAAATTTTATGGATTATTTATTTTTAGTTACATTTTTATTACTTTACTTGAGAATTTGTTTTATCTTACGTTTTCAAATTTTAATTTTTTGTGTTTGATTGTGTTTATTTTCTTTTACCTAATATTATTTATTTTTTATGTTATGCATGGAAATTCCATAAGCGAGTCGATGAAAATCATTTTAATACATATTGTAAATTTTATGGATTATTTATTTTTATTTACATTTTTATTACTTTACTTCGGAATTTGTTTTAGGTTACGTTTTCAAATTAATTTTTTGTTTGATTGTGTTTATTTTCTTTTACCTAATATTATGCAGGGTAAAATGCCATATAAGGTAAGATACCAGGAACATGGAAAAATGTTAAAAAAAAATATCTATAAAAATTTCGAAGATTATGAGAGTTTAAAATTTGCACTTTGACTCTATTTATTTCTGTTGGAAAAATAATTTTCCAAGTTTTTTGCTATAGGTTATTAAAAGAGGAAACAAGGAAGCTATATCCTAAATTGTAACTCTGTTCAATGTTATTTGTGGCTTTTATGGGCAAAATTTTTGTACCATCACTGAATAATTGTAAAAAACATATACAAGATCATTAGTATCATTAAATAGACATAAAATCTCAATTGTCAAAAATAAATGTCAAAATCTTTTGACAGATAGAATTTTTTAAACATTTTTTCCATGTTACTTGAAATTTTTCCCTGGGGCGCGAGTTCTGGAGAATCCTGTATATACAGTGAACGGCAAAATTATGGAATAATAAGCAAAAACGCTGAAACATGTCAATATTCTTTGTAAAAGATACAAAATTCTCAACTTGATTTAAAACTGTTTGATTGTATATTTGTTTGTTTTTTGTTAATATCGAAACTTAGCTTTCTTACTTTTTGAATAATTTTTTTTCGAAAATTTTATGTGACTTGTATAGTAATTTTGGTGTTGTCATTTCGAAAATTAAAAGTTCTATCAAAATGGCTAAAGAAAATTTGGGTTTTCATTTTAAAACAATATCGAAAATGTCATTGTTCAAAAACTAAAAAGTGTAAAATTAAAATTTTAAAGTTGAGAATTGAGTATTTTTTAAAAAGAAAACTGACCTGTTCGCTTGCCTGTTGGTTATTTTGTCCACAACAAAATATTTTTTATTTTAATAAGATTATTCCATAATTTTGCCGCTCACGCTATACAGGGGTGCACCAGAACTCGCGCCCCAGAGAAAAATTTCAAGAAAGATAAGATACCAGGAACATTTTTTAGAATTATTTAATAAAGGTAAAAAAAGTTGCCAATAAAAGCCACAAATAACATTGAACAGAGTTACAATTTTGTTGTTTCCTCTACTAGTAACCTGTAAAACTTGGAGAGTTTTTTTTCCAACAGAAATAAATAGAGTCAAAGTGCAAAATTTAAACTCTCATAACTTTGAAATTTTTATAGATAATTTTTTTAACATTTTTCCATGTTCCTGGTATCTTACCCTATATGGTTTTTTTCTCTGGGGCGCGAATTCTGGCGCACCCTGCATAGTAATAAAAACCAAAAGATTTAAAAAATTAAAAACTATAAAAAGTAACTACATACAATTTTAGAGGAATTTTGTAATATTTTACATATTATAATATMGAATACACTCTTATAGTAAAAAACTTACACAAACAAAAAAAAAATAATATCAAGCCGAGACTATAATAAAAATCCCATATATTTCTACTTTTATTTAAATTTGTAATTATTTAGGCATGGAAATATTTGGGATTATTTGGAATTCCTTGGCATTATATGAGATTATTTTGGAAATAATAAATGGGATTATGGTGTACAAAATTGAGCAGCGGTTTACCCCCCGCATTTTCCCGATCGACTTACCTTTTGAATAGTGTGGAAAACGAAAATCGCGATTTTTTCGGACTAGGAGTGGAATGTTTCAAATGGTCAGAACTGGGGCTTAAAAATGAATAAACCGCCTCACTTTGGTTCAATTTATCATCAGTCAAAATAAACTGAAATTTATGAAATCAACCCCTTGTATTTCTCCGACAAAACTCACATCTAAATACTTCTGTATCTGTTGCTTGGCCTTCTCCAGCGAGCTCTTGTCGGTTTTCCCAAACAAAAACTTAAACGTGTTTGAGGGTAGCTCAAGATTGCGTAATTCCGAACACAATGGTCTTAATTTTCGGTTCAATTCCTGAAACTGAGTCAAACTCCGACACACAACCCATCCGGTGCTGATCGTCTCCTCATTGGACTCCTCTTCGGCCATGTGCACCACTAGGACAAACTGGAGTGGTTCCCGTTCGTCTGGAACCTCCGCTGATTGCACAACTGTCCTCCACTTTCCCAAATTTTCACCCCAAACTTCAGTTCGATTCAAATGAGCCTCCAATTGCCTCCTCTCCCCCTGCAACCACTCCACCTCCTTCTCCAATTTACTCAAAACTTTCGATTCGGGTCGAAGCGACGATCGCAATGCTTGTAATGCTTGTGTTTTGTTACTGAGACGTTCTTCTAATTGGTCCAATTTTTGTTTGGCGTAATTGGAATGATCGCCGACGTTTAAATTCGTGCTATCGACACTTGAAATAGAATCGCCGGAATTTTGGCGTTCTTCAAGCGAACGATCAAGATCCGATATGTCGTCTTCTTTCTCCATTGCTGCAATCATCTCCTTGTAATAATCGCTGATTAAAAACGGCTGATAATATTTATCTTCAAGGGTTTGTACGACTTGTGATTGCACTTCGTAGAACACTTCTGGTCCCTTATCACCCAATAAAAACGCTTCCATGCGTTTTCGGGTGTTTTTATCGACTTTGATCTCCGAAGTTGGGTTGCGTATAAAAGTATAAAAAATTTCGGCGCCTAATTGGTGCCAGTTTTTTCGATGGGCCGTTCGGAGCTCCTCGACGGCGGTCCAATACCGTACCAAATCCTGGCTCGCCAAAGTGTCCAAAAACTGGGACAGGTATTTCCGACCCAAAACATGCTCCAAAATCGACGAAATCGGGAGGGATTTTTTCAAGTCGTCGTTGAATTGGTACCCCAATTCCCACCCAAGACTCGCTAACCTCTTCTCGGACTCCTTTTTCGCCACTGTTAACTGATTTATGTACTTCCTCAGCTTCTTCGCCGCGTTGATGTCCGATTTATTGACTCCTGCTGACGCAAGAACGCTCTTTTCGTTGTCCAAATCGACGCCTTTCGACCGATTCAAGTTCTGCAAAGTGGTCGCTTGCATCAACTTCGTCACCAAACTGTACCTTATTGACTTTAAAGCGTTGATATCGTCGGTTTTCGCGATTATTTTCAGAATATCGTCGAAACTTTTCGCATACTCGAACGCTTTGACGTGGACATTTGCGGCGATTTTTTGCGCTTCGATGTAGTAAATCACGTGGAGGTTGAAGAAATCGGGATCGGTGATGGTGTCCACGAAAGGTTTGAACACCTTGCATGCGAGAATTTCCCGAAGGAAGTACTTTGATGGCGAAAGTGAGTAGCTGCGAGGCAGGAGAAACATGATAAATAATTCACTCGCTGATCTTATGTAACTCATTTCCTTGTCGGAGGACATGACATGGGGTGACAAGACGAAAACAGGGGGCCGGTCACTATCAATCCTATCAAGAAAAAAATTACCAAAAATTACAATGAAAAAAATACTAACACGGCCGATTTCGCTTCGCGAATTTTCTCAAAATGATTGGTGATTTTTGAGACTATGTCACACGCTATGAGTTTGGCATGATCCACTCGGGAAAAACGGTCATGTAGGATCTCGATGGCCCCCCACAGGTCCTCCCTAAAACCCCCAATTACTCCACACAACAACAAACATAAACTGACCTGATATTTTCACCCAACGTTTCCCAATTGTACGCATATTCCTTCAAATACACCAAAATGTAATCCCGGACGATAAAATCCAACAATTGTTGTAGTAAACTATCGACAGTGCGTCCAAAAATCTGATTAAAATGGGCTTGAGGAGTCTTGGTAGTGTTTGAGGACTCAAAATCGCGCTACGGGTTTTTCTTTTATAAAAAATTGAAATTAAAACAATCCTCACCATTAAACTTATACGAAAATTCTCAATGTCTTTTAGAGTGTGCTCCGCCCCCACTGTAGCCATATGGCGCGAAGACAGCTTTACATGAACCCAAATAACGATCCCAAGGCTCGATAGAATCACCCCAAGTGTTAATAAAGTAAAAAGGAAGTATGAGAGACATGTTGAAAAGATTAAAGAGACTCCAAGGCATGCAAATGTGACATAAACGTACATCCTGGAAAAAATAACCTAAAAAAAACTCTTACAAAAAAATCACTTACGTCTCACTTGTGAATCATTATAATGAATTAAGACTTGATAACGAAGTCATTGTTTAATTATCAATTACAAAAATGTTTCCTCAAAACAGAATCAGCTGATAAAAATGGAATCAATGGAATGATTAGACAACCAGTAATACACACGCGCAAGCGTATTTGTAGTTGTATAACTGATAATTTAACTAATTACTTGATCCATTTTTTTCGGGGTAAAGAACAACAGTGTTACCATCCGGAATTTAGAGATTTTTCCAAAAAAAATGCGTGGGAAAGTGTAAACTTTTACTCTCCTAATGTCATTATATAATTAGACATGAATGAGTTGCACAATATGCAACAATGCAACGAGATCATGTGCTAAAAATATGTTCCGGGTTTCCGGGGGGAAAAACCTGAAGCGATTTTCCAGATTCTACTATAAATCTTATTCTTATCCAGTTTCCTGATTGTAAAGAATTAGGAAATGGGTACCCAAATAAATCAGATATTTTGTGAGTCATGTTACCACTTTTTTCAATATTGATTAAGATGGAAAAACCGGTTTTAAAACATCAACAATAGCTGGTAATAAAAATAGAAGCCATTCTTTACAGCTTGTTAATTTTTTTACCAAAAAAATTTCATTGTCACTTTAATTAAAATATCAAAATTTTATGCAATTAATTAGTTTAAATGAGATGGTAATCAATGCACTGACTGAATCAGATAAAATAATGTCGTTTTTTCAGCAATTTCAGTCACGTGTGGCTTTTCAAAATAATCAAGTGGTCCCATACATATTTTAATAAAAATTCCATTAAAACCATTTTGTAACCATTAACCTTTGAGGATAATAAGATTCGTATTATGTAATTTTGAAGAGTGTTTTTTGTATGAATTTCACTCTAGTCAAACTTTGCATTCTAATGAAAAATTTATGTCTTTGGTCACTTTTTCATGCAGGTCGCGAGTTTCAAGGATAAACGTACGGAAACTAATAAATCAAAATAACGCCCCAAGCAGAAAAGATCTCGTTTAATGATAGGAAAAAAATGACCCAAAAAAATTTTCTTGATTGTAATTTGAGAAAAAAAAATATAACAAAACTCGACCGACAATTTTATGTTATTATGTAACATTTGACGTCAATTTAAAAATCAGGTGAAAAGCGAAAGTTCATGACGCACTTTTAACATCTCGAAAATTGCCAAATTTTCCGGATTCTGGCAAATGTGACGTCGGTTTCGGTTAACCAATTTTCTATTCTCCGGCGATTCCAATGACGTAGAAGCAACACCACGGAGTGATTGTGTTTTTGAAACCCCACTCCCATCAAAGGTATAAAATAATTTTTCCGCAAGAATAACCATTTAGACACATTTCAAAAGCTCGACGAACAACTACCCTGCAAAAATGTGGTGGTTGTGCAAAATTTTTATTTTCGGTGTTGTGATCGTGGCTAGTTTCGCCCAAACGAAGAAACCAAACATTATAGTGATAGTGGCCGACGATATGGTAATTATTTTGTGTAGTTAAGGGTGATGAAAAATCGACCTAGTTGTGAGGGATTGTCCCGGATCACCGTGCATGACAATTTGCGATTTTTTTCACATTCTCTTTCATTAGAACAAGTTCATTTCGTTGCCTTGAAAGTACTACAATCGCGACTTAATCATGACATTCAAATCGGTGTAATTAAGACAAATTATTGAGTAAAAAGTCAATGAACTAGGATTTTAATCTGTACTTAAACTTGAGCCCGTCTGGAGGTCGGGTTCGGGGAATCCCAAATTCTATTGTAATATTTTTTTGTTAATTTAGGGCTTTAACGACGTGGGTTTTCACGGAAGTAACGAAATCCCGACCCCAAACATCGACGCTTTGGCTTACAACGGCGTCATCCTCAACAGCCACTACACCCAAGCCTTGTGCACCCCTTCTCGCTCCGCCTTCCTCACCGGGAAATACCCCATCCATCTGGGTAAGTTTTATCAAGTTTAAGGTTTGCGGTTCCAATATCAAGGTTTCCGTGACTTTGCTCGCAATTATCTAGAATGCTTTTCTCCGGTCCATCTGATTATTTACAAAAAATTCACAGGAAACTTAACCAAGGTTGCGGTCAGAATTATTCCGCTGTTTCATCCGAAAAATCATTTTTTTCTTATCGTAAGGTTGCCACGCTTCATAATTCGCATTTTCAGGAATGCAACATCTCGTTATACTTGAACCTGAACCATGGGGATTGCCACTGAACGAGACCATTTTGCCGCAGTATTTGAAGAGGAATGGATATGCCACACATGCCATAGGTAAATGGCATTTGGGGTTCTTCCGCAAGGAGTATACGCCGACGTATAGGGGTTTTGACTCACATTTTGGGTACTGGCAGGGATTGCAGGATTATTATCAACACACTGTGCACGCAACCGTAAGTAAAAATCCCCATTTTCGGAGAAAATTTTTAATGATGTGGGAAATTTTTGCTACTACGGTCGAGTTTGCGGTCGAGATTATGAGACTACCAACCGGTTTTGCTTATTGATGAGTCTAATAAGAAGGAAAGAAAATTGATGGCTTGACCGTAAGTGGCGGGAATTCCCTCCAAACAGGCCCGTAACTTCCAATTTTGAGTTGTTTTTAAGAAAAAAAGCACAATTAATAAAAAGTACACGCACTTGAGTTTTTGGCATAATTAATTAAAAAAAATAAATAATACGAGTCCTTCTCTATTATAAACCCGAATTTTCAGTGCTTAAAAAATATAATAAGAATTTTTTAAAAATTATTCCTCATCCTTACCAATATTAAAAACATAAAATACACTAGGCTGTTAACGCACTGAACGCAAAATAGAAAAATATCATTATTTTATAGATTTTACTGCATTCCGCCTTTAAGAAGGTTTTAATATTAATATTATATACTTTATTTTTTGAAGCTCAAAATTTACTGTTTTCTCCCGTGTAAAGAAATTTTGACAACTTTATGGCATTTCTCAATACGAAACGTCAAATTATTTTTAAGTAAGTTTAAGCCTTGTTGAGTCTAATTCGAAGAATAAAAAGTTGTATTCAACTCGTCTTCGTGTAAATCGGATTCTTTATTCCAACTCGTGGATGATAAACCACTCGTTAACATTCGTGGTTTAATAATTCTCTCGTCGAATAAATAATTATAAAATAATATAATACAGCAACAAACATCTTTTTTTTATAAAATTAAGATAATTTAAATTTAATTTATAACAGGCTTTAGAAATTGTTTTAAAAATTAGCGATTTTTAACCAAATACTAAAAMCAGACATTACAAAGTGACTTCTGCCATTTCAAAAAGCTAAAAAATAAATATTTTTTTATTTGAAACAATTTTCCAAAACAACAAAGAATAAATATTATTTCAAACATTTGTTATTATTATGTGCCATTGCTGACTTGTTTATTAGCAAAAACATGGTCTAATAATAATAATAATAACTAATAATAAAAGAGAGACAGAAATCGTAATTAAAAGTGCAACAAACACAGAAAAATCTCAAAATATAAGCACATCTTTGATTGCAACATGAATTTTGGTTGTATCATACATTAGTAAACTAAAAAAAGTTATGAAATAAGTCCTTTTTTATTGATATAATTATTATGAAAACCAAATTATTAGCGTATACCAATTGAAGCAGCAAAGACGATTAAAAATAAGCGATTAAGCTATTTTTTCCAAAATAAAAATAAACCAAACGCTTGTGTTAAAATCCGAAAAAAACCTCTATTTTTGTGTTGAATTTTCCAATCAAAAAAAAAGTAGAAATCAATGAAAAAAATTGTAAACATTGTTATTTAAAAGCATTTTCTACCCAAAGACAATAAAAAAGTTTAAACAACTCAAACTTAATAAAAAAAAATCAGCAGACCAACTAAAGTAGAAAAAATGTTAGAAATAAGCAATTTTTGTGCAAAATAATTTCCGTTTATAGTTATTTTTGTTACAAGTAYCTAAAATACAGTTTTTGCAAACRAATMGTTGCTGCTTCCGGACGAGGCAAAGCCGAGTCTGGGCTAGCATATAAGTCTGCAAAAACTTTTTACAAACGTGTTACAAACATTTTTTTCTTAAAGCTTCCA